CCTGGAGTAGGGGTGACAGTGGAAACACAGAGGCAGATTTGGGATATGGTTTGCACGTGAAAACCTTAGAGTTCATGGATGGGTCACACTGTGTATAGGGCACTGAGGAAGAGGGGGAAATTGAAGATAATGTCAAGGTTTCTGGTTCAAGTAACTGGGTGACAGTCATTTACTGAGATGGAAAAGGCTGGAGGAGGTAAAAGTGTCAGAAGAAACACAAAGATTTTAGTAATATTTCCCTCAAGAACTTACAGGAGCATAGAATTTCAGAGGTGGCCAAGAACTTAAAGACAGTATAGCCTAACACCATTTGATGCTTGAACATCCCCTATGATTTCCCCTAGACCTACACTATCAGCACCACCTGGGAGCCTGTTCGAAGTGCACATTCTTTGGCCCCACCCAGACCTACCAAATTATAAACTGCAGATGGGACCGAGCAGCGTTTTCACAAGCCTGTCAGGTGATTCCCAGGCACACTCAAGTGAGACTACCACTGCTCAAGGTGTCCTCTCAAGTGACTGTTTTTTCTTATTTTGAGCATCTTCTGATATGATGGTGTATGTTATGATGGTATCTCCAAAGACAGCCCATGCCATCCCTAGAAAACTACTGCAAAGCTCTTCCTAAGAATGAATTAAGTCAAAGTGGAAATCCAGACAAGACACCCCCAAGTTACCACACAGAAGATTTTTAAAAAACTGAAACACAAAACCCTTCATCTTTAGGCTTGAGGAATCAGAATATTGGATAAGATTCACTCCCAGCCTATTCATTTCCTACCAGTCTCTCCCCCTTCCCACCCACGTAAGATTATTTAATGTCAGGTGCACTTTTTATATCTCATAAAGTTAAATCAACAAGCAGGAGTTAATAGAGGCAATGCAGATGCAGAAGAGAATAAAGTCAGGAGCAGCGTGATTAGACTTCACCCAGGAAAGAGGGCAATAAAACCCCGTAAAGGAAAACCCAGTGGGCCAGTCAAAAGACTGAGAAAAGGCATCACATGTGGTCGAAGAATGCTCCCCACCCTCTCCTGCTGAATTCTGCCAGTGTGCTTAGCACAGGGATGTAGGTGCTCAGTAAATACTTGTTGACTGAACCCAATCTTCTGAAAATAATAATAATAATAATAATAATAATATTTATTGAGTCCTTAATATCTGCCAAGCGAGTGTGGTCAATCTGCTTTCTCCTGCATTATCTTACTTTATTTTCAAACAATACAAAGTGGCATTATCTATGCCTTAGGAATAAGAAATATGAACATGAAAAATCTGTGGTTCAGAGAGGCTAAGTAATTTGCTCTAGTCCACACTGCTGGTAATTGGTGGAAGGAATTTTGGGGGAATTTCCTCCAAAGCTCATGCTCTTTTACCGCCTCATCTTGTCATGTCTACAGTGCTGGCCACGGGACAAAAAGAAAGCCCGTGATGGTGGTGGTGATGATGATGGAATCATCTCGGGTGTACCAGGACCGTGAGATTCAAGCTACTTATTCACAGTGAAATGAACTGGCTGTAATCCACCTGCCTGCTCTTGCTCTTGATGATGAGAGACTCCCCTGGTGAAACCAACTAAGATGGAATCTGTAAGCCCACAACCATGCTTGGGGGAAGGGCTTTATTCAAGGCAAATAGGCTTTGACAAGCAATAAAAAAGGGTAGAGTAAATAAATGTCAACACTGCTGCAACCACCAAGCTCTAATGGGACTAGGTTACAAGTTTCAGCAAATTTTATTCAACAAAACACAAACACTCACTGGGTGAGCGTGGTGCTGACAACAAAACACAAACACAGACCAGCCAGGAAATAAACCAGATGGTAAATACATAAGCATGTGATAATGAGTATTTCTTCCACCAACCATCAGCCCCACACATAGAGGGACAAAAGCCAATAGGGCAGAGGAAGGTGTGGGGTTGGGGGGTGGAGGGGAACGGGAATAGAGACATGCCTGTGAATGTCATCCTCAGAGACCTCCTTTTTCACTGAATATAAGGAAATTAGTCTTCCTCTCCCTCGGTGAGCTCTTCTTCCACCCTACCTCAGTCATTCACTCCCATCGTCACGCCTTGACCTGGTCATTTCCACACTGCACTCCCTCCATAATCTCGATTTCAACATCCCTCTCTCTAACCGCCACCTCCTAGTTTTCCAGCTTGATGCCCCAAATCTGACAGTTCTCAGTTCCAACCGGACCTACAACCCATCAATCTCCCACTTTTCACTGTCTCTACTTCCTTCCCCCTTACTCAATTTAGACTCTATGGTTCATCCCTATAATCACTCTTTGCAAACACTCTCAACTCCTCTCACCTCACTCTGCTTTGTCTGAAAATTGCAACCGTGGTTTAATCCAACCACCTGACTATTTAGTGTCTAGCACTTGTGTTTTATTTCCCTAGTCTACATTCTCTCCCAACATCTGGACAACTATTTCACATCTTATCCTCTCTGCAAACCCAACACCTTCCCCCCAATTATCACTCTCACCTAATGATCTTGCTTCCTGTTTCCCTGAGAAATTGAATGTGTTCAGAAGGAAACCACAAGCCCTGACCACCGTTATGTCCTCCGCACAAATAGCCTGCTTCCCCTCTAATGACTACAGAGGAAGCATCAGGCTCCTTCCACTGGCCCCGGACACCATTCTCTCATCTACTCACTCTTTCCTAAGTCACAGTTTTTCATGATCTACTGAATTATTCCCAACAGCACCCAAACATGCTGTAATTTCTTCCCTCTGGAAAATGAAATCCTCTTCTGACCCCAGAAACAACTAGAGATGCTGCCATGCTTCTCTACACCTCTTTTACAGACAAAATCACCTCAACACAATCGTCTGCTTGCTGTCTGCAGTTCCTCTCCTCCCATCTCTCTTGAACTCGCTCTAGTCAGGCTCGTACTACCACCTGCTCACCAAACCACTCTTTGTCACATCACAGTGACCCCCACATTGCTGAGTCCAGTGGCTGGTTCTCAGGCCTTGTTCTCCTTGACTTAGCAGCAGCACTTGGTTCAGCCGGTCATGCCCTGTCCCTTGACACTCTTCTTTGCTTGGCATCCACAACCCCCACATTGACAAAATCTTCTGGCTTCTCCCCTGTGTGGTTTTTCCTCCTCAAAATCCTTTGCCTGTTCCCCCTCTTCTCCCTGAGCTGAAACACTGGAATGTTTCAGGACTCAAGTCCTTGGGTCTCTTCTCTTTATCTGTGTTCGCTGCCTCAATGATGTGATCCAGGCTGCTGGCTTTAAATACCACCTTTATGCTGATGACTCCACAATTCATATCTGCAGTCCGATCTCTTCCGTGATCTTGCTTACGTACCTACTCACCATGTCCACCTGGGTTTGTCATGGGTTTCTCATATGTAACCTATTCAAACCCAAACTCTGGTTCTTCCCACAGGCTTCCCCCTCTTCTGGGCAACCCTATCCTTCCAGGTGCTCAAACCAAAAACATGGACATGATCTTTGATTCCTCTCTTTCTCCCATCCAATCTGCCAGGAAATTTTGTTGGCTCTAACTTCAAAACATGTTCAGAACGACCACTTCACACATACCACCCTAGCTTAAGCCACCAGCTTTCCCCACCTGGATTATAGCAACAGTCTCTTAATGTTCTCCCAGCTCTTGCCCTTCCCATGCTAAATCCAGTAGTCAGATTTAATTTTCATGTAATGGAAATCTAACCGTGTCACTCCTGTGCTTAACAGCCACCAATAAAGTCTTCCAATGCCTTCGAAGTCAAACACCAAGTCCTTCAAATGATGTACAAGTCCCTACAGTATCAGCTCTCCTTTTACATCTCTGATCTCATCTCCCTCTGGCTGCTCTCTTCCTGCTCAACACGACCCCAGCCTCACCGGCTGTCCCCACCTCAGGAAGGCCTTTCCACCCCAGTTCCTTCTGCCAGGAATGCTCCTTCCCTATGTAGCCACAAGGCTCCCTCCTTTACCATCTTCAGTCTCTGCTCAGATGTAACCTTCTTTGTGAGGCTTTCCCTGGTCACCTATTTAAAACTGCAAAACTCCCACCAGCTAGCCATGCACTACTGCTCCCTTCCTAGTCTTATTTTTTCCATAGTACTTTTTTTTATCATATGAGATACTATATATTTTTTACCTATGCATTTGTTATCTGTATCCCCCAGCTAAAATATAAATTCCACAAATTCAAGGCTATATTTTTCCTTTTTTGTTAACTAACGTATTCCAAGAATCAAAAACAATGTTTGCTACATAGTAGGTCCTCAATAAGTATTTACTGAATTAATTAAAAAATAAATCTAGTCCCAGCTACTCACTGGGATACTGAAAACCAAGATTACTGAAGAGGCAAAGACTGGACCCAAGTCCCCTGGGTCCAGTGCTCCTTGCACATCTCTGGCTGTGCTGCAGGTAGAGGTCAGTGAGTCTAGACTGCTCAGACCACTCCCCAGAAGAGCTTGCAAGCGCTAAAGCAGACTCAGGTTGAGTCAGACGTGAAAAATGCATAAAAAACATTTTGATTAAGTGGAAAAGTATTTTGATGAACCAAAAGAGCTGGCTATTTAAAGAGCCACCTGACCTTCTGTGCTACAGGAAGAGAATTCAGTACCTTCCTCTGGTGCCGCAGAGATGTGTTGGGCTCCAACATAACCAAATCCTTAATGGGAGAAGAACCTGGGTCCTCACTAGCATTTCTCAAAGTATGGTCCACAGACCCCTGAGGGCTCTTGACCTGTCAAGGTCCCGTTCAGCTGCACAATCCCTCTTCCCACAATGTTCAAATCCCAGGCCTCCAGCCAGCCTGTCAATGGCTCCTGTCTTGAATTCACCAACTTCAGACACCTCTTCTCTCACTCATCAGACACCAAGCACCTGCCTCTGCAGCTAACATCAAGATGCACCCCTTGGGGATAAGCGGCTCACAGAGAAGTTCACATAAAATGCCATGGAAGGTTGTAGAGGGAGCAAGCATTTATTTTTTTCAAGTGGCAGCAGATATCCTTCGGGGACAACTATTTTGGATCTTTGGGGGCATGAGAAATGAAGCCCTCCTCCTACCCCAAGGAATGGTCAGGATGGACAGGGCGAAACATGGAGAGCTCCTTGTTCTGCACGATAATGTGAGAGGAATCTGGAGATTCTGGGGGTGGCCCTACGGGGACAGAGGAGGCCCTGGAATGGGAAGAAAAGGGAAGAGAGGGGAGGAAGGCCAGGGTCCTGGAAAGGGCTTGGTCAAAATTCTCTGTGGCAGGAACAGGCAACGAGCTAAGATCAGAGACACCCAATTCTCGATTTTAATTTAATTGCTCTGCTTTGCTGCACTGCCACCTTTGCCAAATCCTGTGGCCTCTACTTTTAGTAAAATTCTGCAGAAGAATTGCTTTGTGTGAATCAGGCTTTGGGAAGTCAAGGAAGGGAGATCTTTTAGTTTCCTAGGGCTGCATAACAAAGTACCACAGACTGGCGGGCTTATCAATTAAATTTGTTGTCTCACGGTTCTGGAGGCTAGAAGTCTGAAGCCAAGATGTTGGCAGACCTGAAGCCTTCTAGGCACTTTGAGGGAAAATCTGTTCTGTGCCTCTCTCCTGGCTTCTGGTGGTTTGGGGCAATATCTGGCTTGTGGATGTATCACCCCGATTTCTGCCTTCATGTTCACACAGTGTTCTTGTTCTGTTCATATCTGACCGTGTCCAAATTTCCCCTTTTTACAAGGACACTGGATTAGGATCCACCCTAATAACTCATTTGCACTTAAATACTTTTGTAATGACCCTATCTCCAAGTAATGTCACAGTCTGAGGTTCTGGATAAGGGTGAGGACTCCAATATATCTTTCGTGGGGAGACCCATTTCAACCTATAATAGGAGCTGTGTTCCGTGACTGAGTTCATGTGGGGTGGAGAAACAGCTATAAAAGGTGAGACGTGTGAGGTCAGGAATGTACAGGAAGGAGGGAATTGGAGCCAGAGGTGACTAAGAAAAGCATAGTCCACAACCAAAAATCCTGAGTTATTGGGAGTGGGGCCATCATAGGTGGGATGCGGACTTCAGTCAGTCCACGTGAGTCTGGAGAGAATGCTCCTGTAAGGCTGGAAGAATTGGAAACACACCTCCTTCCTCCCCCCGTTTCATTCCCTGTAAGGAAGCTCACATTTGAGACATTTAGGTTTCAAAGAGATTTGTTTTGACCAGAAAATTCAAGAAAGGCTTCATGCAGGGAAAGACTTGAAGACAGGTCTTGAAGGATGAGTCGGGTGTGGATATGCACCTGTGCCTCTGGTTCACACTCTTCTAGAATACTCTGTGCCTTTGGTGCAGTTTTCATCCAACCTTCTTTTCAATGTCCAACTCGATGTCTAGCCACTTAGCTAACCTTCCAGGACCAGCCCAGCTCTTTGACACATCTGCCGACTTCTTCATCCCCCGCGGTCTATTTGTTTGTTCCTAGCCATACTCGTACTGTGATCCAACAATGGCCGTATTCTGCCTTGCCGACTCTGTAAGCTCGAGAGCACCTTGTATCTCAGCATCTAGCATACCATCCAGGACACAAAAGACACTCAATAAATACTCATTAATTGCTTAATAACTGTAATCTCTTGGCTCATGAAATCTTAATGACCTATTTCAGAATTTCTCCCTTTCTCAAACACAGACCTTGGAAGGAATTCCCATGGAATGGTGTCCCAACCGAGACCATAAATACTCTGGGGGACAAATGAACTCAACATGGACAGCACACCATAGACTCACTGACTTTAAATGAAACTGCAAAGAGGACTTTGGAGCTTGAAAGAGAAACCTAATTTTTCTTCCTTTATCAGGAATTTCTATACCATGCTGCAGAAACTCACAGAGCCTGAAGAAAGAACATCCAAAGCCTTTCCAGGACTACAAGGTAAGACTTCTGTAAGACTCTGAGGGAGACAGGATCATACCAAGAGAGAAGTGGGACCTACACATGCCCTGGGATGTGTCTCTCGGGAACTGCCAGGAGTCAGGGGTCTGCATACAGGCTGGTGCACTCCAGCAAGATGACGTTTGCAGCAATCCCCCTCAGAGATGCAAAGTTTGGCCAGTTGGGAGGTAACTGAAGAGCCAGAACAGGTTCCTGAAACTAGTTCATATCTCTGCATGGACACAGCAAAGTTAACATAGAAGGCTGGAAACCTGAAGGACATGCACTAGCGAGTCCAGCTGTGATCAGGGTTATTTAGAGCCTCAGTCTGGAACTGGTAGAAAGGCTTCTGACAGAACCACCTCCTTTGTTCCTGACATTTTCCTGACAGGAGGGAGAGGTGAAGGGGTCTCATGTCGAAGGCTGTATTGCTTTTCACACATAGAAAAAGAAAGCCTGCTGTGAGAAGGGAAGACAGAAATAACCCGTTTTTTCATATCATGAAGCAGAGTATAACGTTTAACACAGTATTCAGTATGAAAACAGAATGCAGACAGAACTTCAATTCTCATAATACAACCTTCAGCATCTTCCTAGCTGTGTGACTATGGCCAAGTCACTTAACCTTTCTTAGCCTCAGTTGCTTAGTCTGAAAAATGGTTATAGCAGCAATATGGCACTGGAGGAATTGCCTTCTATCTACAGGGCTGTGAGGTATAAACGTCCACAGTCTCTGGAGTCCTGATTGTAAACCACTCCCCTGAGAAGCTGCTGTTCACCCGAGAAAGCAAGGAATGCTCAAGGTCTAAGGCAAAAGTGGTAATGCTGCCTGGTAGACAAAACAGTCCTGAGAAATGAAAACATAGTGAAATAAAAATAACAGTCAGGAAAAAAATAAATCTGAGTCCCAGATCCGCTCCAGTGAGTTGTACAATCATAGGCAAGTCATTTTGCCTTCACATTCCCAGTCTCCCTGCTTTGCAGAGATGGGGGTAGGATCAAAGTGAGTGAGAAAACATGGGCAAATGTCTTAGCTGCCAGGTGACAGACTAATGACAGTTGTTTCTCTTATGAAAGAGTAGAGCTGGAAGGGGCCTTAGAGACCAGCTGGATTCAAAAATAAGGAAAAAGCTGAGAATGTCCTGAAGTTCCCTATAGCCAATATTTCTAACTGTTGGGACCTAAGGAAAGGGAAGTGAAACCACCAAGGAGCAGCATGAGGCATTTTTGTATGCCATGGTTCTCAAACATTAGCAGCATCAGATCACCTGGAGAGTGTGTTAAAACACAGACTGCTGATCCCCACCCCTGGGGTTTCTGATTCAGCAGGTCTGGTGAGGGGACCAAGAATTTGCCCTTCCAACAAGTTCCCAGTGGTACTGATACTATTGGCCTAGAGACCACACTTTAAGATTCACTGCTGTAAGTACAGAAAAAAAATAGTTCAGGGCCAATTCGGAAAAATGTTCAAAACAATGGCTCTTCTCTTACGGATGGTTTCTACCCTTCAACAAAGAATAAATGTTAATTGCATACTTCCTCTGTGCCAGGCTCTGTGCTGGAAGCTTTCACGCTTCATCTTCAAAACACCCACTGCGGAAGGTGCTATTATTGTCTGCCTTCTAGAGAGAGGAAACAGAGCTTAGACAACTTGCAGCAGGTCGTGCAACTAGTAAATGAAGGAGCTGAGATATGGACCCAGGGCTGTCTGATCTCTTAGCCCTGATGCTGTCTTGCCTTTGAGTTTATTTCCTAGATGATTAATACTAAATAGTGCTGATCCATCAGTCAGCACCAAATCCAAATTGATCATTGACAGTCTGGAGTGTTTTTCTCTCTGGAAGCAGCTGGGACAGTGGGGACCGATGTAATAGATTCACTTTATACTTGCAATTTAGAAAGCTCAGAAAACTTTCCAATAGCACACTTCTGGGACAGTGGGGACCAATGTAATAGATTCACTTTATAGTTGCGATTTAGAAAGCGCAGAAAACCTTCCAATAGCACACTTCTGGAATTCACTACACGTTATTTTGTGCCATGGGATCTGGTTTCCTGCCAGCAAGGAGTATACTGTTTAGGTGGAGAAACAACAATTAACAACTGAAGTATACAAGTGACTTTCTGCCGTCTGGATGGGCTGTCTTTCCACCTAATAATGTCTTCAGTATTTTGAGGAGGCTACACACCTACCTCCTTCCATTGCACACTTGCTCATCAGCATAAAAAAATTAAGAAATTTTCCACATCCAGCCTTCAGGGGTGACCCCTTACCCAAACTCATCAAGAGTGATCCAGCATGATACAGGACGAGCAAACTCACAGAACCCACCCATGGTGAACCAGAATCTAGCAGGAGCGACAGGTGCCCAGGGTCAACCCACTGGGCTCCAGTATCCAGCTGGAACGACCAGTTTGCAGACTCCACCTGGACTGGCCCAATACTCACTGGGAACATCGGCGCTCCAGACCCTGCCTGCAGACCTTCAAAATCCTCTGAACAACATCTACTGGCCAACATATACCTCAAACCAGTCCCAGTGGAACATGTCATTTGGATCATTTCCTGCATTTAATCCCAAGAAATTCATAAATTTCGAGGAGGTCGAAACATGAGGGATGTGATTCTTCCTGTCTCCAGTTTGGGTCACTTCATAAGCTCACTTCTAGTGCACTTAGATGAGGAAGGGGATGGATTTAGGGGGCAAAGGACAAAACGAGGGATGGCTGTTTCTGGAGACTGGACCCAGGACAACCCCACAGATGCCATCCCCTCCCCCATCTTCCTGCCACTCCCCAGTCAGATCCATGGTCTCTGAGGGAGGCTGTAAAATTGATTAAATCTCTCCCACCTAGCTATCAGGGACAAGGGTCAGCAACAGTTTCACTGAGAAGACCATTGACCAGGAAGTCAGGCAGTCCAGGTCGCTGGGCCATCTGGATTTGCTGAGTGGCCTCAGGCACATCCTTCCCCCTCTCTGGGCCTCAACTGTCTCATCTGTAGAATGAGAAGATCTAGCAAGTTGCTGTCTTAAATTTCTTCTAGCTCTGAGGTTTTGTGATTTCCTCTTCAACCAAGAGGGTTCCTGCCTCTTTCCTGCCACCTCCTGTTTCATTTGGCACCTTGCAAAGCTCAATTCCTTTTCATTTTTGATACATAAACCAGATCAGTCCTGTGCCCCACTGAACACCCCACCAACTCCCAGCATGGGGAATGGCATGCCATGGGTACTCAGTCTGTAGCATTCATCCATTCCATATGGCAGGCACTCTGCAAGGATCTGGAGGTTCAGAGGTGACTAAGACACCATCTTTGAAGACCAAGGAGGGTGTTCCATAGCAGCTGTCGTAATTATAATACCTTCTGGCAATTGCCATAAGACATATGCACAAGTTGTCTTGGGTACCCAAAAAGTGCAAATTGGCCAGCTTCCTTGAGAGGTTACAACCTCCCCCTGGAGGCAGGAGTATGAGGATAGGTTAAGGAACGGGACAGACTCATGAGCACCCCCAACCCATCCCTCCATGTTGATCTTTCAGGGATAGACAAGTGGATTGTACCAAGAACAAGGCATCGTGTGCATCCCGAACGTATCAGAATCAAATCTTGGACTAAATTCTGTAAGACACAATCGGGAATAAAAATCTTGGTCATGAGCATCAAGTGAGATTATAAATGTGTGTGGAAATTCTTCAAAAGGTAAAGATAGTATATGATATTACATAGTAATTATAATTTTGAATTATGATTATAGTTTTGAATCATTATTATAATTTAATATAATTATAATTATAGTTTTGAATTATGATTACTATCCTTATTATTAGTTAATATTGGGAAAATGCTTATTAGCTTTGGCTCTCAATTATTTTAAGGTATTTTGGAAGTATTTTAACATTTCTCAAAACAAAATTCTTTTAAATCAGAGCAAACAATGAAAAGCCAAAAATGTGGACTATCTGTAGTGAATTACAATTTCATCAGGAGATGGGAACTCTGCCTGCCTCCTTAGATGCAGTAAAGTGGGCATGCAGACAAAAAGAGGGACACTGTCTTATGAAGGGACATTTATGTGGAATTCAGGTCTGTCACCAGCTCCTAAACTCATGAAGCTGAAAGTGTCTGCTCTACACTAGTGATTTGACTCCTGAGGAAAAAGGCACAGAGAAGCCAGATGCCACCCCAAGGTCTCAAGGATAGCAAATGCTGTGGGAGCCCCAAATAGGAGGGGATTCATCCTGAATGGGGTGTTGGAAAAAGGATTTAGATGATCCTTACAGAAGGATCGGATTTCAGTAGGATGAGAGTACAGCAAGTGGATTTCAGGCACAGACAACAGTGGAAGAAAAGCAAAGAGCAATGAGCAAGAACACATGCTTGCAGGGGACAGAGGGTCCCCCAGAGTGTCCATGGCAGGGGAACTGTGGGCAGTGCATAGGAAAGGCCGTAAAGAGAGTACGGGGTGGGGAAGAGGAATAGTGTCAGCGGAGGGTGCTGAACTCCCGCTGCAGGCCAGGAGCTGATCTACAAACTTTACATGCACTTCTAATGGCTACAACAACCCTGCAAGCCAGATGCTGTTGTCCCCATGTTACAGATAAGGAAACTCAGACACAGAGAGGGTGTTTGCCTGAGGCCACACGGCGGCCAGTGCCAAAGCCAGGACACCAGCCCCAGAGGTCTGCTGCCAAAGCGCCAGCTCAGCTTACCTCTCTGCACGCCTGTGGGATCCGAGTGTGAAAGGAAGATGTTCCTTCCTCTATTCTAACAGTTCTTATGCCTGTGGTTCTCAAACCTGGTGCACATTAGCATCACCTGTGGAGCTTTAAAACACATAGGCATGGACCCCACCTCCAGAGATTTTGACCCAGTAGGTTTGGGGTGAGCCTCAACACCAATCATGCCTCAGGTGATTCTGGGGTGCAGCCCAAAGGCCCCCAGTTCTGCTCTCTTATAGTGACTTGTTCTCTCTGGCAGCCATCCAGACCCTCATTGCCCTCACGCATATTTTCTCTGGAATCAACCCTTCGCTGTATTATAATTTATTCACAACTGGATGGTCAGGGTACCCGTTCTGGGGAGGAATATCTGTGAGTACAAGGCTATGTGGCCTCCTTCCTGGGTCACCAGATGGGGACAAGGAAAAAGTAGAAGAAGGAACATGGAATCGCATTCCCAGTCTTATGACCCTCTTAGCCTAGAGCCAGCCACCTAACTCTGCAGGAGCAGCAAAGAGTTAAGGATCCGATCCCACCCCTGTGCCCCAGCAGCAGCCCCTCCAGCCTGTAAGGAACTTTTGGCTACAAACATTCATTGCCATGTGCTTTAACTATTCCACTCTCTCTGGGTTCTCTTTTTATGAAATATCTCGTATGTAAATCAGAGTACATAAAGCTGTGGTGCTAGAGACAGCATCTACCTATCAATTATGGGAGCTGATTATACAACTTTCAGGAATTATGTAAGCTGATTGTCAAACCATTTGGTAGGGGGAGATTGAAAGTAGCAGGTGTATACCACCATGGAAATTAACAAATGTTCCAAATCAGGGCCTTTCCCCGCATCACAGACACCTCACAAGGCAGATGTTACACATGTACCACACCACTGAGTACATACAATGTTGGAGAGTTTAAATAGTAATAAAATGTACACCCACGTGTATGATTTCACTTATATGAGGTATGCAGGGTAGTCAAATGCATAGAGACAGAAAGTAGCATGGAGGTTGCCAGGGGCGGGGGGGAGGGTAACGAAGAATTAGTGTTGAATGGGGACAGAGTTTCAGTTTAGGACAGTGAAAGGAGTTCCAGAGGTGGACAGTGGTAGCGATCACATGACAACGTGAATTTGCTTGGTGCCGATGAACTGTGCAATCGAAGGTGATTGGAATAGTAAGTTTTATGTTATAAGCATTTAATATACCACAGTTCAAAATAATTTTTAAAATTAAGTGTTTTTTAAATAAAATAAACACCCACATGTTCACCACCTAACGTAAAAAACAAAGCATCACCAGCAGTTTTTAAATCCCCAGGAGTATCCCCTCCCTGTCCCAGCAGTAACCACTATTCTCAGTTTTATGTTTATCATTTCTTTGTTTTTCTTTCTAATCTGACCACATATGCTTGCATGTCTGAACCATGAGTGGCTTGGTTTTGCATATTTACAAACCTGTGTAAATGGAATCACGCTGTATCTGCATGCAGCTAGCTTTTTTCCCCACCGGACATCTTTCACTAATATACAGTTTCCCACTGTACAAATACACCACAGTTTATTTATCTATTTTCCTGTTAACCAACATTTATGTCGTCTACAGTTTCGTGCAGTACAAACTATGCCACTGTGACTGCGCTTGTGCATGTTCCCTAGCGTGTGAGGGCAGAACCTGCCATGCTAGCATGCTGTGAATGGTCCCAGGTGTGCCCTGAGACACTGCCCCCACCTCCCGGCCAGGTGGGGCTTAAGAAAATCATAACCCCCCAGTCAGTTCTTCTGACTGCATGGAGACTTCCCTGGGGCTCTTCTGAGAGCTGTTGAAAGAAAATCCATTTGTGAAAAGCACAGAGAATCACAATTCAGCCAACACTTGCATGAAAGTGTGGTCGTTGGACCAGCAGCATCACCAGAGAGCTTGTTAGAAATGCAGTCTTTCCTACTGAATCTGCTTTTAACAAGATCTCCAGGGGATTTATGTGTACATTAAAGTTTGAGAAGTACTTCTTTAGACTGTTAGTAGTAGTGAAATGCCTGAGTATGGGATTTGTGCAGATCGGCTTTGCTAGGGAGAGTCAACTGCCCTCCAAAGAGGTCGTAGCAATCAGCATTTTCATCAGCAGCGAGAGTCCCTATTGCTATTCTCACTTCTCCCCTGTTCATTACATGTTGCAAATACCTTCTTCCAATTTTTTGGCTTGTCTTTTTACTTCCTTTATAGTATCTTTTAATGAACAAAAGATTTTAACTTTAATGTAGTCTAATTTTTGTCAAAACTTTTATGGTTTATGCTTTTTATGTCTTTCTCAAGAAATCTCTTCCTATCTAAGGCCATAAAGTGATTCTTCCATATTTTCTTTTAAATTTTTTTAAGTTTTCCTTTTACGTGTAAATCCTTAGTCCATAGGGGATTGAGTCTGGTTTATATTATGAAGTCAAAGTCCAATATTATTCTTTTTTTCTCTGTGGATAAGTAATTGTCTCAGTATTATTTACTGACCATGTCTCCTTTCTCCAGTTACCTATAAAGCCACTGTCATATGTCAGATGTATCTGAGATCTCTATTCTATTCCTTGTGTCTCTTTGTCCATTCCTGCAACTATACATTACACTGTATTAATCACTATATCTTTTTTTTTTCCTTTTTGTCTTTTTTCGTGTCTGGCAACGGATCGCAACCCTCAGTGTCGCGCCCGTACTGGACCGGGACCGGCAACAGGATCGCAACCCTCCGTGTCGCACCTGCACCTCGCTCAGCCAGTGAGCAGGAACCGGTCTGTATGTGGGATCCGAACCCTCGGCGGG